GGGGAGGACAGGCGCGGGGAGGACAGGCCATGTGGAGGACAGGCGTGGGGAGGACAGGCCGCGGGGAGGACAGGCCGCGGGGAGGACAGGCGCGGTGGCCGTGGGAGCCCGTGATTGCTCTGGTCCCACAGAACCTGCAGGAATGTGAGCGCTGTTTACCGAAAGCCTCTCTCCAAGCAGCACATTCTTTCGGCTTCTCTGGCCTAATGGTCCCTCAGGACAAGTGAATAACTGGTTGGAAGCAAACAGCTGACTGAGGTGCAGTGGCCGCCTCCCAGCCTCAGCCCTCAGGCGGCCGGGCTCTGGGCACGCAGATGCCCTTGGTCTACCACCAGCCGCCCAGCACTGGAGCCGCCGGGGCCTGCGGAGGGGACATCAGAGCCACCAGAGCCGCCGGTCCCTGGGAGGGAGCCATGACACCGGCCAGGCTACGTGCAGGGTTCCGTCCCGGCCCCCGGTCTGCAGTCTGTGCCCGAAGATGCGGGGCGGGGGGCAGGGCTTTTATAAATGCCCAGGACGTGGAGAGGGGACACGGAAACGCTGCGAGTGAGCCCAGGAAAAAGTTTCAGGTAAAACATTAAGGAACCCACAGAGGCCACGTCCCCAGTCACAGGGCGCGGACCTCAGTCAGAGGCAGCAAAAGACTGAACTGAGATAAAAATACTGACAAGGCGACTGGGACTGCAAACACCTCTGGCATCTGATGACACCGAGGAGTTCCTGCGGACGTTTTAACCAGGCACCACATGGTCTAACGGTCGGGGGTGGGGGGTGGGGTTTTATATTCTAGGGGCACCCAGGGGAAGCCTCGCTGTAAACACAGCTCCAGGCTAAAAACGCCGGCGGCAGCCCTCACTCATCTCAGACTCCCCTCACTCTCCCTCCCCCAAAAGCCAAAGGCCCAAAGTTCCCACCCCAACCCGGTGTGGCCAGGACCGGTGGGCCAGCTGGGGTCAGAGCAGAGGACGGTCCCTCCCTCTAGTGGCAGCCGCCCTCTGCCCAGCCCCCTGGCGCCTGGACAAGTCCCCCGCTGCGGGCCCGTCACAGCTGCTGCGGAGAACGCCGCCTCTGCAGGCACACGGCGCAGCAGTGCCAGGGAGACGGGCCGCAGCCCCGAGGTCTGGCTCCCATGATCTTGCCTGGCGGTCTCGCCCGGTGAGCCACGGCTGCAGGGCGGCGAGCCGGACCTCCCGAGCGGAGGGCATCCTCCCACTCCTGCCTCTAACCCACGTGCGGCCAGCCCTGGACTCGGAGAGGCACCCGACAGAGGGGACGGGCTCACTCAGCAGTGGGCGCCGCACACGCTGTGCCCGTCCATGCCCCGAGACACGCTCATATGTGCAGCAAGCAGAGACGGGCTGGGGCCGAGGGACCACC